CCAAAGCTGGCATGTCTGCCAACTATATAAATTCCGGCATCTCTCTTCTCATCAAGTACTCTCATACCTCTGGCTTTTGGTCTTCAGAGGAAGTCTCATATCCTGTATCTCTGTTGATTCATTATTAATACACCATACTTTTTTTCTCTCTATTTCTAAAGATGTCCTAAAGCTTTGGAGTTTGGAAACCTTAATGAAATATTGCAGAAAATAACCTGTGTAATGCTTCAACTCTTATTCCAATGAGGTGGAAAAATCCAAGAGTGCAACATCTGGAGCTGGGGGCAAAGGTTAGGAAGGGCCTCAAAAGAGTTAAGAGACCAAGATTTTGGTTTGGATTCTGATAAATGCTGTTGGACTTAGGAAACTAACATAATCTCTGTGAGTCCATAAAATGGGGATGATGAAGACTTTTATGACCTGTCAAAGGATCAAAGAAACAAAGAGATAGAAGGGACCTCCAAGGTAATCAGGTTCAATCTGCCTAAGATGAAATCCCCTCAAAAGTCATCCACTTGGAATGTCTAGGGATGGGGAATTTTCTACTCTTGAGAGGACAGTTCTAAATCTTAATAAACCTTTCCTTAGCTTGAGCTGAAATCCTATCTCCCTGTAACTGCTGCATACTGGTCCTAATTCTTTCCTTTGGAGCCAAACACATTGATGACCACTGAAGAGACCACAGTAGTGAGAGAGAAAGAGTCAGTAAAAAAATCTGGCTTAGAATACTGCCTCAGTGGGGGGAAAACCAAGTTTACAAAAAGCCAAATAAAGTCACCTTGAGTGCATTTGAGTATAAAACTAGAAGGAAAACAGATGAAAAATGTAAGAGCCCTGTAAATATTTTTAGAACAGACTAAAGGCTATCATGAGAAAAACATATGAGCAGAAAAACAGATGAGCTGGTCACACAGTACAAGGAAGGGATATAGCCCACTCATGACTAACCCAGAGGCTTCATTGGTGTCTAACAATATCAAGAGAACTGGAGACATATTATTATGATTCCTGCTTCACAGATGAGATGACTTCCCAGCTCCAGGGAGCTTATCATCAGCACGGTGAGCAGACCTCCTGTGGAGGACTCTGTGGGAGGAGACAGAGACAAGGCACATAGGAGGGGTAGGACCGGATGGATGGTGATATGTACCATACCATGTCAATCAAAGCACCAAATTTTATTTGACCTTCACAACAATCCTGTGTAGTACACAGTGAACATATTATCGTCATCTGATAGAAAAGATTTTCCCTTTTCTATCAGATGAGGTGAAGTCACTCAAGCTTTCAGAGTTGGAGCGACTTTACCCAAGGTTACTCAACTGGTAGAGAGTGCTGAAAGGGAGTAGAGAAGATCTGAATTCTAATCCTGCCTCAGACATTTACTGTATGAGACTTTAACTTCTCTTAGCCTCAGTTTCCCCATCTATGAAACAGGAACATTAACAGCATCTACCTCACACAATTGTTGTGAGAATCAAATAAAATGACATATGTAAAATGCATGGTCTTTAAGGGCTATACAAATGCTATACAGATAATAGCTGTTAAATAATAGAGTCAAGACTTGAATCTATATCTTCCTGTGCTGTGCTCTTAATATCTTAAAGTTTCTATTTATTTATATATTTATTTTTGGGGAGGGGGGGACAGACTAGGTCTCCTTCCCTTGCCCAGGCTGCCATGCACAGGTCCAATCCCACAGCAGATCCTAACAGAAGCTTTGACCTGCTACATTTACTACCTGAGATCATTCACCCCTCTTTACACAGCCTGTACCAACAAGGTTCATCACATTGGTGCAGCTCTTAAGTGAGGACATCTGTTCAACTTTAGGCCTATCAAAGCTGAGAACTGCTGATCTCCAGTGATCTACCAGTCTCAGCCTCCCCAGGAGGTGTGTGCTGACTTAATATCATAACTTCTTAACGGCTGTAGAATGTACGACCTAAGCTTATAGGAACCAAACTACAAGGTGTTGGCTCTGAGGGCTGTGAATCCCAATTCCAGCCCTGTCCATATCTTACTGTGCCACTCTGAAGAAGCTGAATTGAGTCAACATCTCCACTAATCAACCAGTAAGTATTTATTAAGTACCTATGTACTATACAATGGGAACACAAATACATCAAATGAAATAAGCCCTACTCTTGAGGCACTTACATGTTAATGGGCAAGACAAGTCCATCTATAAATATATACAGAAAGTGAACAAATACCAACACTGTACATACACAGGAGTTTGGGATATAGACGGCACTAGCTTTTACAGAGCTTAGGAAAGTTTTCATGGAGAAGATGGTGTCTGAACTCAGTCTTCAAGGAAGAGAGGCTCTTTATGGAGTGGTGGAAAGAGTACCTTCCAAGCATGTAACAGGGCCCATGCAAAGACCTGGAGATAGGTGTAGAATGCTGTTTGTGAGGAAGAGAGAAGGCCAATTTGACTGGATCAATGAGTGTGGGAAGAGGTAATACATGCCTAACGAGGCTGCAAAGATAGGATTAGGTCAGGTCGTGACAGGCCTTAAAAGCTAATAAAGGACTTTATAGTTTATCCCAAAGACAACTGGGGTTGGCTGAGTAAGGGTGTCATGTGGTCAGATCCACACTTGGGTAAAATCACTTTGGCAGCAGATTGTAAAACAGACTGGAATGGTAAGAGACTGGAGGCAGGAAGACCAATTGGAAGGCTGGTGTAATTATCCAGGTGAGAGGTGGCAAGGGCCTGAAATAAGGGGGTAGCTGTGTGAGTGGAAGAAAGGGTATGACACAGGAGATGTTGTGAAGGTAGCAACAGCAAGATTTGGCAACTGATTGGATATGTATGTGGGGTGAGGGTAAATGAGGGGTTGAGGATAATACAAATGTTATGATCCTTGAAGGATGGTGTTACTTTTGTTGGAAATAAGGAAGTTTGGAAGAGGGGAAGATGGGGGGGTTGGAAAGAGAATGAGTTCGGATTTTGATGCGTTGAGTTTAAGATGTTTCAGGAGCACCCAGTTTGAATCTCTAATAGCCAAGTGATGATGCATGACTGAAGCACCCAGAAGTATCTTCTGTCCTGGACAGACTAGTCAGAATCTTGGGTCCAGCTGTAAGCTCTACATTTTAGGAAGGGCAGAGATAAGCTAGAATGGTTCCTTTGGAGATTAAACAGAATGTCGAATGACTAAAAACATGCCCTATGAGAACCATTTGAAAGGAACTGGGTATGTTTAGTAGGAAAGGTGATTTAATGAGAAAACCATTGTCTGTTGTGCAATAGAGGGATCAAGCTTGTTTAGCTTGGCTCCAGGAGGGGCAGAACTAGGTTCAATGGGTGATATGTAAGGAATGCAGATTTGGGGTTACTGTCAGGAAAATCTTCCTAACAATTAAAATTGCCAAGAAGCAGAATGTGCTGTCTTAGAAGTTAATGACATCCCCATCACTGGAGAAGTTCAAACAACAACTAGGTTACCATGGACCAAGGCTGTTGTAGAGAAAAGTCTACTCAGCTATGTCTTAATCTATAGGACTATCGTTTGCCTGTATTGGTAGCCTTAGGCCTTAGCACAGATCCAGGCACATGGGTAGCAGGTCCTTAATATATGTTTTATTGACTAAGATCTCTTCCAAGATCTTCTGAAATCTCAAGAAATCTCTGATGAAATGAATTTAGTGAAGCTTAAACTAAGCTTTGAGGCTTGAAGGCAAATAGGGAGGACCCAGATATAAGGAAATATTATAACTGTAACTGTAAAGTTGTAAAAAGCTTAGCACAATGCCTAGCGTCTAGTAAGTACAATGTAAATGTTAGTTATTATTATTATAACAACACAGTAACAGCTAGCATTTATATAACACATTACAATTTGCAAAGCTCTAAGTGTCTATTAATCTCCTTTGGTCCTTACCACTACCATCATCAGTAACACTTATATAATAACCTGCTAAGCACTTTACACATATCATCTCATTTCATTCTCAAAACAACCCGGGGAGGTAGGTGCTATTATTATCCTCATTTTACAGATAAAGAATTTTGAGGCTTCAAGAAAGTGACTTTGGGCCAGGGTTACACAACTGATAAGTGGAAACTGAGGTTAAGTATCAGGATCAGGGTCACCCCAGGATCACTAACAATTGGAAGGAGTTGTCACATAGCATGGTAATGGCTAACACTACAGAAAGCGGTTTAAGGTTTGTAAAATTATATTTGCATGTATACATATGTGTGAATGTGTATGGATATATGTACACTCATGCACACACATAGGTACACACAAATACATACATGTACATTTGTGTGTGTCTATATGTATGCATATAGACAGACATCTTTGTGCATATATACATATGTGCAATACACATGCATGTGAATATGTAGGTGTATGCTGCTATGTGTGTATGGGTACATGCACACATGTACATGTGTACATGCATGTATATATACTACCCATGCCACATGCATACAGACATCGTTTTACAAATTAAACTGCTCTCTATGTATGTGCATATACACACATGCACGCATAGATATCGATATGGATCTATATATCTCCTTCGGTCCTCACAACCACCCCGGGAGTTGGGCGCTATTATTTATGCCCGTTGCACAGATGAGGAAATTAAGGCAGAGAAAGGTGCGGTGACTTGCCCAGGGTCTGAGGCTAGAAGTGGGCTCTGGTAATCCTCATCCCAGGTCCAGCGCTCCATCCAAGGTTTACAGCACGACCACCCCCCCATGCCACCCCCAGTAAAGTGGAAGCTCCTCGAGGGCAGGGGCTGTTCCTCCCGGCCTGGTCCTGTCGGCCTCTAGGGTCCCCTCCCCCCGCCACGGTCCAGCGGGGCGCGGAGGGGGTGGGGCGGGCACCAGCTGCCAGTCTCTCTCCCAGCCCCCGGCACGCCGGGACGGGCAGGGCGCGTGGAGGGCTGACGTGTGGCCGCACAGCCCGGACACTGTCCCCGCCGCCTCCCTCCGGCCAGGCTGGGGAGCTCGGCTCGCCTAGGGTACTCACCACGTTGGGCGAAGACTATAAGGGACGAAGCCCCAGGGACCGTAGGCAAGAAAAGGCCGGAAATAGGAAGGAAGAGGCGGGAACGGGGGGGAAAAAGACTACAATTCCCAAGATGCACTCCGGAGGACCATTCCATTCTTCCAGCCACCGCGGGGGCGGCCCACGACTGTGCGCATATTTCTGAGCTGAGAGCCCCGAGTCTCTCCGGTCGTCGGGATTCCTTACGTCGTGGCTTTTCAAAGTCACTCGAGTTTCCCGCGCTACTGGTCACAGGTCTGGGCATAGAGCGGCGTGTCCTGTGTTCGACCCCCTCGGGATGGACCGTCCCAGACCCTGGGTAACGCCGCGCAACAAAGAGTGGAGCCCTGGGGCCGCGTGGGGCTAGACGGGCGGGTTCTGGCGCAGGAGCGGCGGCGGCGGCGGCTCCTCCCCAGCTCTTTGTGACGTCACCTTTGGGCTTCCATCTCTGGCCGGGCGAGGAGGCATCGTAGCTGCGTTGCAGCCGGTCCACCGTGGGCTGCGGACCTCGCTCGCCGGAGGGAAGGGTTCCCGGGAGCCTCCCACCCCAGACCCCGACCTGCTTGCTGTATGCCTCGTGAAACAGGTAGTTTTAATATTATTTTTTAAAAAAGTTGATAGGCGAGCGGGAGTTCACGGTAAGTATGTCCCACGGGCTCCAGGCTCTGCTTTGACCGAACTCTGAGCAACATTTGAGTTGGCAATCCTCTTGTCTGTATGAAATTGATTTCCTCTTGGGTCTCCTTCCACACGTCCCCATCCTCTGGCCCCCAAGTATAGGCAGCCCCAAGGTCCTGCCTCGGCCCCTCTTCAGCTTCTCCCAGCTTGATCCAGTCCACCCCCTTGCATTTAGTTATCTGTACCCCACGCCTTCAAACCTCGTTTTGTGTCTGGATCCCTTGTTGGAATAAGGTTTTTATATGCATAAAATAAAATGCTCAGCATTACCAAGGAAACCAGTTATATTGAAATAAAATTATAAAAAAAAATTTAAAACAAGTTCAAAGACTCCAGCAAGTCTTTGCAGATGATTCCCAAATTTATGTATCCTCATCTTTTAATTTCTGGCTGGACCTGCCCTTCACAATATCTTTCCTCCTTCTTTTTCCTGTTTCTGTTGACACCACTCTTCCAGTTACCAGGTACCTAGACTCCTCAAGAGTCATTTAACTTGGATCTGTGAACTGATAAAATCAGTTCATTTGTAAGCCTCTGTGCTACACTCAGAATATACACCGGCCAAAATGAAGCAGTCCTTGCTTTGGGGGAGCTTACATTCCTCTAGAAGGACCCAAAATATATAGAAGTAGGGAAGCTTGAATGAGAAAGGAGCAATGGGTGGAGTGGGGAGAGTGGAAATCTTCCACTCTGGCTTCTAGATACCATTCCAGCTTTCACATGTTGGTAAAATGATATCCATTTTAGACGTTAAATTTGAGATGGCTGCAGGACAGGGGTGTTTGTGAATCTCAAGATAATGGATGTAAAGCACTTTGTAAACCTTAAGGTGTTATATAAACACTGTATATACATATACATACATACATATATATATATATATATATATACATATAAATTATTATTTTTATCATTATTCGCCTACCATTTTGAGGCTTCCTGTCTGGTGATAACTTCATTCCCTAAGCTCAAGAAGTGTTTATAGAACAATACAGGGGTGTGTTGGTAAATGTTTAGCAACTGGGTTCTCTACTTTTAAGTTATTTTGAATTATTAACACTAAATTTAAGTCCAAACAATCAACAAAACAATAAATCAAGCCCTAATTTGTAGCAATTATGATTTCTAGGTTGTGTCCCAATCTTGTCCTGTGCTCACACTCAGCTTGCTGCCTTGTCCCATATTCTTGGAATACAGTACCTACATATCTGCGCCTTTCAGAATTCTTTTCCTTCAAGGCCTAGCACAAGGGGCAGTCTCTCCATGAAGATTTCTAATCCCCCATGGGTAAAAAGAATCTTTTTCCCTTCCTAAAATTTTCTTATCTAGCTCTTTGTCTATTTCTCTTTTACCAATTATCATGTGTCTTGCACTAAATATGTCTCATTAGACTGTAAGCTCCTCAAAGCCTGGGATTATTCCAGATTTTGTTCTTGTAATTTTGAGCCTAGTTTAGTGGTGGTGGTGGTGAGAACTAAAATAAATCACACATCCTCTCCCCCTCCAATAGATTAGCAAAGGACAGATTTAGACGATTTAGACATGGTGCTATATTTGAGGAGACAAGCCTTGTACACAGTTAATAAAAGTTCACTGCATGAAAAAAGTGATGGCTCCTTAACTTCACCTTCTTCCAAAGAGTTGTGAGAACATTTGTGGTCCAATATTTACCTGCTTAATATAAAGCATAACTAAGCTGTCCTGATCAGTCTTGTAAATTAAGTTTACTCCTGTGATGGAGGAGCTAGGAGTTGAAAATGAGAAGAAAGGGTTGTGCTTTGATTTAAATTGTGTGTGAGGTAGCCCTTTAAGTTTCACATTAATGATAAGTTCAGAAAAGTTTTCCTTGTGATCAACTCTATATATATTAGGTTGAGATGAGTCCATCTCTTCAGATGATGCTAATCTAATTCTCTGACCTTGACCTCGAACTTCAGACCCCACATCTCTAGCTGCTGATTGGGCACTTCTATCTGGAGGTCCCACTGGCACTTCAATCTTGGCATCTCCTAGCCTGAGTTCATTATCCTTCCCCTAACACCTGACCCAACTGAGTTTACTCCTTCTCTCAGTGGTACATTCACATGGTTTTACTCATCCAGTCTCCTGTTTTAAAAACTTTTCATTTTCCTCCTCAACTCTCCCATGAGACTGAAGGTAATTATGATTTTCATATTAATCAATGTATGTAGTGAGTATACTAATAATATAGATTTCTCACAGCTGCCTTTTCTGGCTTGGGAGTCAGAAACTCATAATTCAGCTTGAAATGACCAATCAAACCCTTAACAGTGCTCTCACAGTCACTAGATTCCTGTGCTTGTATACCTTAAGTGAAGTGAATCAAAGAATGCAGAACCTGTTCCTGTGGCAGAACTCTGGTCCTGTGTCCCATCACCTGAAAACTGTTCTGCAGGATTCCAGAACACCTGTATTGTCCTGTAGTCATGGGCTTCTTGTGGGAAACCACTCAGGCCCTGGAAGTGATTGTGTTGTAATCTATCTTCCCTTACTTTCCCCACTCTGAAGTATGCATATAAACTTTATGCCTTTACTGTAGCATGTGGAGCTCTCCTCAGGAGAACTTCAGAAGGTCTGCAGACCACATTCCCCACTCTGAAAGTAATTAATTAAACTGCTGCTTGTTTCCTGGCACTCCTGTGTTTGGCCTGCTTTGGGCGGCTCCGGCTATTCACAGTTGAGAGACCAGTCCTGTCCGGACTACAGTTAAAATTCTGTCCTAACGCTTCTGCCTCATGCAGTGTTATTACTATCTGTTTCATTTTCTTTCTCCTGCCTGCTCTGTAGGAAAGTCCCTTATAAGCACCCCACTGAATTATTATGATAGCCTTTTGGTGGGTTTTCCTAAGTCCATTCTCTCCCCTCTCCCCTACTGTCCTTTATGCTGATGATAGAGTAATCTTACTTATTCGAAGATTTGATCATGTCACTTCTCTTAGAACCATTTGGTAGCTACCCACAGCCAACCGAGTCAAGTTCAGATTCTGTTGCCAGACATTCAAAACCTTCTATAATGTAGCGCCAACTTACCTTTCCAGCCTTATCTCATATTTTCCCCTCATTTCAGCCAAAATGGACTGTTTGGACTTTTTCTCCTTCACTTTGTTACCTCCGTGCATTTACATTCGAAACCTGGAAAACCCATTTCTTTGCCCTCCCTGCCCTTCAAAATCTTACTAGTACATTAAATGGCAAGTCAAATGGCACCTCCTCAAGGAAGCCTTCAATCTCCTTAGATAACAGTGGCCTTTCTTCTCTTGTCCAAAAATGTCTGATTCTGCAGCTTGAGTTGCTATTATAGACAAATTGGCCTACCTGAATTGGTAGGAGTTTCCTCACTTGAGATTTCCCTATATTGATGAAATCACAGGTCTAATGCCTGTCCCATTTTGTATTTACTGCTCTGTGAGTATGTTGTTTCTCCCTAGTAGAACATAAGCTCCTTGAGGGCAGGGTGTATTTCAATTTTATATTTTTATTCCCAGAACCTAGTGTTATTCCTGGCATATAGCAGGATTATTGATTACTTGATGTAAATAAATATATTTGTTGGTTAGTTAGAAATCAGGTACAGTGAAGCCAGAGTCCTTAGTTTCTTGCTGTTAGTTTCTTGAAAAAATACAAATCTCATTCATTTAACACAACTAGTTATTAAAAGGAAGTATTTTAATACAATTTTTCTTTTTCAGTATTCAGCAAACATGGTCAGTAGAAAGGAACACCCTTATTTATTCAGCCTAATTAATGTAAGGGTAGCCCAGGTGGGGCATTTTTGTTCTTTAGATGAGATGTAGTCTCTGTCCAAATGGGGTTTGCAATCCAATAGTACTGTTTCTGGAGTGAGAGCTCCAACCTCTGACTTTGTATGGTTGTTCAGTCACACCTGACTCTTTGTGACCCCATGTTGTGCTATGGCACAACAAACCCTGCTATCCTCCACTATTTCGCAAAGTCTGTTCAAGTTCATGTTCGTTGTTTCCATGACACACTATCTATCTCATCCTTTGCCATTCCCCCCCCCTTTTTTTTTTGCCTTCTATGTTTTTCAACATCAGGGCCTTTTCCAGTGAGTCCTGTATTTTCTTTGTGGCCAAAGTATTTAACTTCAGTTTCAATGTTTTACCTTCCAGTAATCTTCTTCTGGTCCAAGGGACTCTCAAAAGTCTTCTTTAGCGCCACAGTTTGAAAGCATCGATTCTGTGGTGTTCAGCTTTCCTTATAGTCCAACTCTCACAGCCATACATTATTTTTGGAAGAATCATAGCTTTGTCTCTCATAGTGGAGGGGAAACAGGGGAAGGTGAGAGGGAATGAGGGAATCTTATTCTCATAGGATTTGGCTTAAGGAGAGAATAACATATACATTCAATTGGGTATGGAAGTCTGTCTTAGCCTACAGGAAAATAGGGGGAGAAGGGGACAAGAGAGCAGGGGGGTGACAGAGAGGAGGGCAGATTGGGAAAGAGGGTAATCAGAAGCAAATACTTCTGAGGAGGGACAGGATCAAAAGAAAGAATAGAATAAATGGGAGGGCAGGATAGGATTAAGGGAAATAGAGTTAGTTTTTCACAACATGTCTACTAAGGAAGTGTTTTGCATAACTGCACATGTACAACCTATATTGAGTTGCCTTTTCAATGAGGGTGGGTGGGGAGGGAGGAAGGGAGAAAATTTGGAGCTCAAAGTTTTAAAAACACGTTTTACAATAAATGGTATCACATGCAACTGGGAAATAAGAAATACAGGAAATGGGGTACAGAAGTCTATCCTGCTCTACAGGAAAATAGAAGGGGAAGGGGATAAGAGAAGGGAGGGGGGAGAGATAGAAGAGAAGGCAGACCAGTGGAAGGGGTATTCAGAATGCATGCCATCTTGGGGTGGGGGGAGG